CGCCCGGGGTGGGCAGCAGAGCTCTATCGTAGGGGTCTAAGGTGGTGGGGATGCGGCTGGCCATGGCCGTGGTGGCCGCCATGGCCGTGGACTGGACCTGGGAGTACTGGGCGTACTGGGAGTACTGGGCCATGGTCTGCTCTGCGTAGGCGTCGTACGCAGAGGCCGTCGCATAGGACCTGACGCGGTAGCGCTTGTAGTAGTCGGCCATCCCGCCGTACGCGTCATCGTAATACATGGTCTCCCCATAGCCCGCGGTGTAGGGAGTGCGCACGGCTCCGTACTGCTCGTTATAGGCCTCGGTAAAGTCAGCCACTTGCCCCGGGCGATCTACCGGACACTCTTTAGACCAGTGCCCTTCCTTCCCGCACCGGTAGCAGCCGCTCTTGTCTCCCATCCCGGGCGCGGTCCTGAGCCGACTGGTGGACAACTGCACGCGCATCCGCTTGCCTTGAAGAAACAGACGCAAAAGGGAGGCTATAATTGAGGCCACACCAAGAGGTTCGTTAGAAAAACATGCACAGTAAAGCAGACGTGGGGCCGCGGCCGGACGGATCCCCACCGCAACAACGCTGCGAACAGCAGAGTCCCCGACCTCCTGCATCCGCCCTGCTGCGTTCGGCGCCGAGCCAGGCACCGACTTACCAGCACCGGGGCCACCGAGTGCTCGGAGGCTCTGAGCCACGTCCCGCCTGGCCTGCAGGGACTCACAGCCGAACCCGCGGCCTCCAAAGCTGCAGGAAAGCAGCGTGCCGACCCGATGGCAGAGCTCACGGCCGCAGCAAAGCCAGCGCGGTGCGGGGAGAGCCACCCGGCGACGCCGCCCAACGGGGCCACGCACAAATGGGTCCTGCCGCGTCACACGGCGGCACCCAGGGGACGAGAGCCCTTCGGGAGGGGACGCGGCCCCAGGTCTGTGCTGGGGAGAACCTGACGTCGGATCCTGCGCGGACCGCAGCGCTTTGGAGAGGAGTTTCAGCGTGGGGCTGAGCAGAGGGACCAAGCGTGGGGGAGAGCAGCGCCGGGGGCACCGAGAATTGGAGTGGTGAAGAGCATCAGGGATGCCCCAAATGGAGAGGACGGGTGACGGGGAAGAACGGCTCCGGGGACACCTGAAATGGGGCGGCTGGTGGGGAAGGAGAGCTTTGAGGACGCCCCCGAGAGGGGCGATGAGCTGCGGTGACAAAGAGCACCGAAGGCAGCGGTGAAGTAGAGCTGTGCTGACAGCCAGCGGGTGGTGGCAAAGAGGAGCGTTGGGGACGGCGCAGCTGCAAGCGCCGGGGTCAGCAACGCCCCAACCGGGGGTCGGTCACACCGCGACAAGATGGCGGCATTTGGGGATGACGCAACGGACGCGTCCCCAACGACCCGACGGGCGCCGGCGCAGCCCTGTGGGGATGCCCTCACTTTTGGTGCGGTGGAAGCGGCCCGGCACCGGCTCTGCTCATCCGCTCGCCGAGCTGCGGGGCTGACGTGAGCCCCACCGCCACGCTGGGTCCTGCGGATGGATCCCCCAACCCAGCCAAGACCCCGGAGCCTAACCCTCGTGAGCGGGACCGCCGTGAGGAGCAGCTTGGAGGGCACACCGAAGTGTGTAGCAGGAAGTGCCGCCATCACCAGCACCCCGACCGGGGGTCGGCAACGCCGCGACAAGATGGCGGCATCTCGGGATGACACCACGGACCCCAGCGGCCCGACGCGGCTCAGACGTGGCGCCGTGGGGCAGAGCTCGCAGTGCCCACAGCGCGTCCTCCCTGCGGGGCCGGCTCCAGCCTCACCAAAAGAGCCGAACGGCGCCGCCGCGCCACGGCCGACCTCCATCTCCCCACGGCCATCCCGTCCCCGTGCCGCGCGGCGTCACCTTGGAACTCGGTGTTGTCCAGCCCTCGGATGGCCTCCACCGCGTCCTCCGCCCGCTCCATGTGCACGAAGGCGTAGTCCTTGACGATGTCGCACTCGATGACGGGGCCGTACTCCTCGAACTTGGCGCGCAGCTCCAGGTTGGTGCAGGTGGGGCTGATGTTGCCCACGTGCAGCTTGGTGGAGGCCTTGCTCTTGTTCTTGCTGGCCTCCACGTTGATGCAGACGCCGTGCAGCTTGTGGTGGTGCAGGTTGCGGATGGCGTCCTCGGCCGCCGTCTTGTCCTCGATGTGCACGAAGCCGTAGTTCTTGATGATGTCGCACTCCAGCACCTTGCCGTACTGCTCGAACAGCGAGCGGATCTCCTGCTCCGTCGCCTCCCGCGGCAGGTTCCCGATGAACAGCTTCACCATCTTCAGGCCTGCGGCGGGGCCGGGGCTGGCTGTGAGTTCCTCGCAACCGACCCCCCACCCCCAGCGCCCTCTCTGCCCCCCCAGCCCCT